GACCTCTGGTATAAACCAAGGACAAATCCCACTCCCTTCTAGCACTGATGATGTTACCTAGTTGGGTCACGAAAGGAGGAGGAGGAAGAGGAGGAGGAATAAGAAGAAGCAAACCTCCAAGTTCACAGAGCACCAATGACCCCACAGTCATTCCTTCTCCACCTCCCTTCCCCCTTTCCCCTCCTCCTCCTCCTCCTCTCTGCAAACCCTACTCCCTTCTAACACGGATAATGTTCACAAGTTGGGTCATGAGACGTCTGCAAGAAAACCACCAAGCTCAGGCAGCACCAAGGACCCCTCATTTCTTCTCTTCCTCCTCCTCCTCCTCCTTCCTCTCCATTCCTTCTCCTCCTCCTCCCAAACTCCTCCCCCTTCCAGCACTGATGTTGTTACCTAGTTGGGGCATGAAATGTCTGCAAGGAAACTGTTAGGTATAACATTGATACCAAATATGGTTTGGGTGAATAAATATATAAAACTTAGATATCATGGTTTAAGTGCTTATCACTTTAAGCACAATGTTGCAGGCAATTAGCCGATTAAGGGTGCGGTTAGAAGTTACAATATTAGGAAGCATTAGAAGCTGGAAAGCTTACTGTGACTAACTGTGAATACTGTTTGTACTGTGCCTGTGACCGAGATGATCCTGTCTGCTACTGTTTGCTGATTTACTGCGGAATTCAACTGTTCTACTGTTTGAGCGTATTGCTGAATATCCAGCGTTTGTTCCTCTGGAGAGAGGCACCAGAGGAGGAGAAGATATCTTTATCGGCTGATAAAGATATTGTAAGGACTCTTAACTTGGACTGTAATAGTGAGTCTTACTGGATGGAAATATAGTGAATGACAAATGGACTGAATGACAATGCTTTAAACTCTAAATGGATTAAAAACTATTTAAACTACAAACAGTGTTTGTGTTCAGTGTGTGTATACTCTGGGGCCCTTCCACTCTCGTTTGGCTGCCTGGCTTGACTACTGCTGCAATACTCTGCTAGGGGTTAATCCCCAAACACTAACAGAAACCACCAGTCTCGGAGAGCACTGAGGACCTCATGAAAACACATTCTTGGCCCTGTAGAAAAATATTGTCTGCGCACAGCCCCCCAAAGCCAGCCTTAATACCGCCAAACAGCCCACTTCCCTTCTTATTGTGTAATTCCCGTAGGTTTTGACTTCTATCAATGGAGTGAACACACCCAAGATTAGATGGCCCAGCGAAGCTTCGCCAAGGCGTGCCAGGGAAAGGCTCGGGTGGCAATACATGAAAGCGTTTTCGCTAGTGTGATTAATGCACCTGTTGCCTCTGTTGTGTAGGCGGAGGGAGAAACCACACCACAACTTTAAACAGGCCTGGACAAAGTACAAAAACAAAGAACAAAAACAGCTGGCAGGAGAACAAAGAGGAGAAGGCCAGGCCGCAAATGACCACCGGATTTAATATGACGTTGAAATGAATCGGGTGCAATTCAATGACTACACTAATTCTTATTATTAGTTTGGAATTGCTGTCCTCCTTCCGCCACACTATAACAAGAAAAAAATATAAATATGGTGGCTGGTTCAATTTATAGAGTGGGGCTTGGAAACAGGATTCTGTTTTGTGCCCCTTTCCAGATCTCAACAAGCTCAGGAAAGGGTCAACCGTGGGGAGGACTTACAGACCTAGAAGCCACCAGAGAAAGGCAGAGATGCTCTCCTCATCTTCACTCGAACCCGACACAGAGCTCTACAAGGGGGGG